TGACCCGAAAACTAAATGTAAATAAATCGGTCGAAGGGTCACATTATTATTAACTTACTTATAGTTACACAAATTATTAATTAACCAGATAATGAAAGTTGTTGAATAGCCGCGTGACGTCGTAGAACCGACGAGTGATCAGCTGCCCAAGTTTACGTGTAAAAGTAGTTTGATTTACACACTGATTTTTATAATTTAGGATAGTATTTCAGAATTTTTTTTCATGATCCTAAGGCCTGGTTGAAACCCGGTATATTTATATTTATGCTCTTAAGCCGATGGCGTGTTTTAAAATTTAATATGTCTGGTTATTGTACACATATTATTAAAAGGTATAATATAAAGTAAAATTAATGAGTTCACTCGCGTTGTATTACCTACCGTATAAACCAATTCCTACGAAATTTACTATCATATTAATTTTATCTACTAAAAAAAAACTAGAAAGTATATCAAAACTATAATCACAACAGTGTAATATAGACAAAAAAAAACATTTATGGTTACATAAAATAAATGATTTATTCGTTATAATTGTATATCGTTATTGTAATATATGGATAATACACTTTATATTTGAATAAACTTGTGAAATGAATGAACTAGGTAAGATCATACTTGGGTGTAAAAACACAAACGAAATTAAAACATATTACGCAACACAAAAGAATATTAGGCAACCAACATTCCTTAAAACGATTACATAACAATCTTTCAAACGTTATGACTTACTACATCTCAACGTTGCGTAGTCATTGTAGTCTGTATGCCGTGGTTTTCATGAGTCATTACGTTGAAACTTATTTGTATGAAATCGACTATTGTAGTCGTGTTTGTTCCAAAATTCCTTGGCTTCAAAAATGGCCTACAATATTCACACAGACGCATGCCCCCACCATTAAAATATTCACTTAAGTGTCAAAAACAATTGCTAAAACTTTACACAACGAAAAAATGACAATACCACACATAAACACATAACTTAAGGATACACATTCTTTGTGCAAATATTGCTGAGGCAACAGAATATTAGTGCTAAAATGGCATACAAAGGGAAAATGACACATAAAGACATGACCAAACTAAGTACCCCTTTCATACAAATATTACGAAAACCAACAATGATATATGAACAAAAAATGGCATTTACTCAACCACTTAAGCAACAGAATACCACTGCTGAAATTACACGAGGTCAGAATAAAAATAGCAACAATATATCATGACGCAAATCAGAAAAACTTACATACATGAAACTACATAAATTCTGTACTAACTTACAAAGTCGTAATGCCAAATATTTCATTAATCACTATACTAAGCAACTATAAAGTACACAGCGGAAACACATCCTCCGCGCATACACACAATGTAACATTCACTAACAAAATTAATCCTAAAATATTGTACAAAGGGACGATAACAACATTCATGAATACGACATAACAAAAGGCTGTATTCGTGCAAATAGTGCCAAAAAATCAAGGACAATTTGCAAAATACGACATAAAATGTACACACATGCGCGCTATACGACATTCGGTCAAATAACCAGAGATCACATATAACAAATAATTCACATATAACAAAAGCGAACAATCAATTCCAACATCACGTGATAGCAATAGAGTGGGGATAAAACAATCACTTCCTTATATAAGCGCAACGCATAGACAATAGACTACACTCAGTGCCACACGGCAGATCATCACAGATGAGCACGTCAACGAAACCACACAACACCGAAAAGTTTTTCTTTTAACACAAAATTTATCTTTTTTTATAATATTAACTTAGTATTTGGTTTGTTCTAACACCAGGATATTGTATTGTAAATCGTAAATAACGTGCATTGACTCTTTACCAATCAGAGACTTACACATTCCAACGAGAGTCTACACATCTTGCTCATTGAAACACGAGGTAAGTGAATGTATATTTGTTTTACAATTGATGACAAACTATCAATTCCGTACTGAAGTACTCAACTAATAATATTCAGAAGTAATATAATAATATAGTATTATATAATATAATATAGCTACACCCTTTTTAATCTGCCACCTTGCTGAGCATTTCTCCTAATCTCCGTCACTTCATTATTTTATCTCAAACATTATGTTTAACGATTGAAATCGTTGTGTTATACTAGACACTATTACACGTAAAACATACTCCGCTTTACCACATACTCTGTTTTTCGATCTATAGCATTCCTAGTGCTGTAAGTCAATATTCTGAATTTCTCAAAAATGTTTTGATACGTTTCAATGTAGAAAACGATCTTTCGACTTCAGCTGTAGTCATCGAAATAGTTGAATTATTTTTAAAGTTTGCAGATATCAGAAAATATCAGTGTTGAATTATTTTCAATTATAAATTTCAATAAATGAACTGATGAAGAGTTATCACGGAAATCGGATCTATAGTTCGTTTTTGTAGTTGATTATATAGAATATCAACATGTGTCATTAAAGAATGAAACACTCTTAACCAAAATATAAATTTATCATCATTTAACATCCGATGCAAAGCTCCAGCTTTTTTAATTGCTATGGTTTTATTAAATGTTGATTCAATTTCTTTCATACATTCAATTAACGGCTCACTATTCTCATACACAGCATTTACTATTCGACTTTTAAAATCCCATCTAGTATTAGATGATCGAGGAACTCTGTGTTTAACAATTGCATCTAAGATCCCAACCCGCTGAGGATGGTTGGAACAAAAATTGTTATACCAGTTAAGTTTTAAAAAATTTCCTTATACCACGATGTTGTAAAGTTGCTTGAATTAAAATTAAATTAAGCTTATGAGCATAGTTACGTATGAAATGTGTATTTTTATAGCTATTATTAATTATTATTTAGTGTACAAAATTGAGACGTCCTCTCATGAGATTTGCGCCGTCGTAACTCTGACAAATCAACATTTCTGACGTTTCTATGACTTTTTAAAAATTGAATATTATGCATTCAGACAACGATTTCGTATCGTGTCCAGTACGATTGAAAAATCCCCAAAATTTTTCTACTGGTGTTCCATCCGATAGTACATATCTAAATATTATTGACAATTGAAACTGAGCAGATACGTCAGTTGTTTCGTCAGCCATTATAGAAATATACTCCGCTTCTTTTATTTCATTTTCATTACTTTGTTGGCATACTGCTAAACATCATTCTAGTAAATCATTTTGGATTGATTTGGATAAACCTTTAAACACCTTAGAGTTCTCAATATGACATTTTAGTACCGAATCTAACTCTGAACTAAAGTTTGTAGGTCCTCGAAATACACCGGGTTTTTCTAAATTTGGTTTTTCATCGTAGCCTCGGAGTGCAAGTTCAAATGCTCCACAAAATGTAATACAATTTTTTATTTTATTCAATACATAACGATTATGACTTATTCTTTCATTGTATTGTTTGATATTCAACCGATACGCACTAGAAAATTGTTGTTGTATGTCTTGTTTTCCTAATATTTTTAAATTGAATTGAGAATTTATGTGTCACATTGATTTTTCATGTGTTTTGGTTTTAGAAGTTATATGAATTAAATCATTTATTCCATTCTTTACCCAAGCGGCATCATTAGATTTTCAACCAAAAAGTAGAAATTGAAAACAATACAAACGATTAATTTCTAAACAACCACAAATCCAGTCATGGGTTTTATATATATCATTTTTAAATTTTCTTACATATTCTCTCGCTTTACATTTAGTAATTTGTTTAATATTTAAGTCTGGAGTAGGCCTACTTTTATTTTTTATTTCCATCTTCTTCTCCAACGAGATTGTTGACAAATCGCATTGCTGCATTTGCTGTACTGAATTAATTTCAAAAATTGAAAAAAAAACATTCTAAAATACTCTAATATACTTTAATGTCGGTCGTCGATAGAATTCTATTCGAATTTCCGATATGATCAACGAACAGTATTTATAAGCTAATAATCGGAATATAATAAACGAATGAGAATAAAAATAAATTATAATGCCTATGCCGACGCCCAATAAAAACAATTTAATTGGTTATGTGCACAGAACGAATGTGCACACCAATTATTCCATTATAACGCAGGTTGCATGTTTCGACTTGTTTTAATTTTTACACTTTACAAATATGCACAGCGACTGTGTTCACTACTGCACCACTATAATATACACCGATACCGTTTCGTCGCTGACAACCGCCCGCCTGTTTGTTCTTCGAAATAACCAAATGCAAATATTATATTATTTTCGTAATATTCTGAATTCATGGGTAGGTAGTGCACGTGCACTTGTGCACATATACACGAGCCGCCACTCCCTAAAATCTAAGCAAACTTTTTGAGTGTTGTGGTGTCCTTTAAGACATCGTCAGTATTGCGAAATTTTACCTGCACGGGCTACGTTGAATAGTACTATTACAACTATTTACAAGGCATTTTCATTATTGGAAATTGTAGCATTAATGAAAGCTGCGGGAAATCGATTTTAAAATGTTATGATAAATTATGTCTTGAAATTTAACGTTGTTACTTGCGATTTTACTCTAAGACTACTTAAAAACAGAGAAAAAGTGATTGTATGTTAATGCATTTTGTGTATATTGCGCGTGGGCCAGACAGAGAATACAAATAATGCGCCGACACCCTTTTAAGGAATTTAATATTTTCTTAAGCAGTGGCGTAATCGCGAGGGAGTGAATAAAAGTAGTGAATAAAATGTACATAATAATAATCAAATTCAAATATAATGTATTATTAATTTAATTAGTTATTTATTTTAAATAATTATTAAATTTAATTGAAATTTTGTTTTTTTTGGACTTCTTGTCCAACTTTTTTCAAAATGGACTTTTTGACAGATTATCTTACTATACATAATATATAACATGTATGTATTGTATGTTTACAGACGCTCAACCACCACATCGCTACTCGTACAAATATCAGGCGTACCTCTTGGGATATTTATACACCTTGTGCTGTACGTGCCAATAAATATGAAAGCAATATATTCTGTGTTTTTTTACATATCGTTAGCAATTGCATTATGTTCATCCAATGTTTCCACGTTCTGTGGAAACAATGAACAGATCGAGGATTTGCAAACCGCTTTAATAATTTACGAATCCACTTACGATGTAATGTCAACATTGTCTGCTATACCGTTAACAAGTGTGGCGTTAACGTTCGTACAAGTGACGTCGGCCGGTCAGTTTGCTATGCGTTTGAAGGAAGCGTTTGAAGAAATGGAGAGTTCGTTGAATAAAGATCATAAAGACTACAGAAAATGTTCAGAAATATTGGGAAAAACAGTAGCAGCAACCACAGCCATCAAGTCAGCTAGTGCTGGGTTCTCTCTTATGTCAATGATACCGGGTTTCGGTTTGGCACTCTTAGCTCCGAGGATAGCTTCATCGATATATGCTATGTTAATTATAAGAGACACTTTAGAATTTTGGCAAAGTAATGATTGCCAATATGCTACAACGAGAGATTGTGATTTATAGGCGAATCAATAAATTAATATTAATGATATGATTTGATTGTAATAACGATAATAATACCTATATATTAGTTCAATGATAAAATAAATATTCTAAACTATACCGTATTATGTTTGATATCATTTATTAAAAAACTATCTTTTAGAAGTTAGTGAATCTATTTATTACTTGTATATTTTTATCTACTTAATGTTCAACACTGGTTGCAGGTATACAGTATTATGGCTGTATTCAGTACAAAACGTATATGTGTTATAGTTTCATAATATTCATCATATTATTATGTTATTATTTTTATTTATTATAAAGTCCTAGTTGCGTTTCTTGATTTAATAATAGTTTCGTTTACAATTTTAGATAATATAATTGTACAATATAAAACCGTGTGGTGATACCACTTAGGTACGGATCATCAATCTATTATTTTTTTTCACGAAGCGAACGTTTTGTATTATTAGGTATAGTTAATATTTTATTATAATTGTTAGGTGATTAAGCTTCCGTGTGAGTTCTAAATATACATAATAATGTAATATACATGACTGTTATGGTCGCCCACTTTTCAAAATTATAATTACAGAAGTCAAAATATACATTTGAATCATGCACAATATTTTTTTTTTGTCAAATGTATTTTTCTAGTACTGCTTAAAGTAAAATTAGTATACAGGCTTTGACCCGACCTAAGTCGGAGATTACTCTTCTTTTAAATAAAAAATAATCAAAATCGGGATATTTTCCTGTTACAATACACCATATTAACCCTATCCCTCTCCTAAATAGTTATCGACAGAAGATAAGTGAATAAGTATTATAATTATGGTTGCAATTAAAATATAAAATTTAATTTAAAAATTCTATAGAATTGTTGAAAATTGTAAAAACCGTCATCGACAACCTTAAGGTTAAGTTAGGGTTAATCTAATAATTAATCTAAATTAATTTTTTAGCAATATATAATTTGGTATACACGTAATCAAAACACATATTGCATATATATTGGTATTAAAGTTTATCTAATAAGTAATCTAAACTAACTTTATAGAAATATATAATTTGGTACCCGCATTGCGTTCAGATATTCTGCACTTTGTCATCCATCTCTTTCTGGGGCGTCCCAGTGGTCATTTTTTTTTTTTAGGTTTCCATTCAAAAGCCACCATTAGAGGGTCATTGTGTTCTCTTCTTAAGATATGGCTTAATCATTGGATTATTTGACCTTTGATGAAATTAGTTACCGGTGCCATCGTTTCATGCAGTTCCCTATTGTAATTAATATTTGTGTAATTTATTTGTATAATATGTAGACTATTTTCACTGTACTTTCGTACAACCATGTATTGGTGCAATAAGGAAGGATTTCCCCAAAATTTCATTTTAGAGAGGTGGAAATTAAAAATGTTGCTTATAAATGGTTGCCATTGGTTACAGATAATCATAATAATTATTGTAATTCGTAATAAAATAAATAAGTACTTTTTTTGTAAATAAATAATTGCCATTTTTTACTCGGGCAGATGAAATGAAAGCATGCACCAAATCGTCGAGTTTATATAATTAACAAACTATATCTTAAAACAAATATAAACTTTTATCTTTAAAATGATTATTCTGTATTATGTCTGCTGCCTTCAGACTCAAAAACTATAGATCATTTATTATATTATATTATCGTAAGTTACATGGCTAATACCCACGATTTGATTCTTTATTATTGTTATAGTGACGGCCTCGGTGTTTGTGTTTTTTGTCTGTAATCGTTTTGTTGGTTTATGGTCACATCCCCGTATTACATTTCCCCGTCGGACATTTCCCCCTCTGACTAATTTTCCCGTCGGACATTTCCCCGTCTAATTCAAATTTAAAATATAATTACTGTAATGTAAGCGCCCTCACAGTTATTTCCAGGCTTGGGATTGGCAACTCATACTTAATACGTAATGAATTGGCGGTTTACACTTTCTTTTTTGTTGTTACCTTAAAGTTAAAACTAATAAAACTTAAAAAAGTTATGTCTGTTTATTTATATCTAACATATTAAAATTAAAATGGTTGCAATTAAAATATAAAATTTAATTTAAAAATTCTATAGAATTGTTGAAAATTGTAAAAACCGTCATCGACAACCTTAAGGTTAAGTTAGGGTTAATCTAATAATTAATCTAAATTAATTTTTTAGCATTATATAATTTGGTATACACGTAATCAAAACACATATTGTATATATATATATATATATATATATTGGTATTAAAGTTTATCTAATAATTAATCTAAACTAATTTTATAGAAATATATAATATGGTACCCATTGCGTTCAGATATTCTGCACTTTACCAGCTGTACAGTCTGACTTGACCCGTGGAAAAGTAGACAATTAGGTAATATAAAACATAGAGTTAGTTATATTAATGGTGTATGATATCTCGGTTTTATTCTACTTCATTTCGCGTATTAATAGCTCTTGGCATATTTCCGAACGTGGATCTCTAAACTTTTATGTTATCTCTAAGAACAATCTCTGACATTTTCTTCAAAAGCGGTACAGTAGTTTTTGAGTCTGAAGGCAGCAGACATAATACAGAAGAATCATTTTATAGATACACTTTTGTATTTGTTTTAAGATATAATTTGTTTATTCGAGGCAATAAACTCAAATATTTGGTGCATGCTTTCACCTCATCTGCCCAAGTAACCAATGGCAATTATTTATTTACAAAAAAAAAAGCAATTAATTCGGTACTTATTCCTCCTATTACGAATAATAATAAATCTTATGATAATCTGTAATCAATGGCAACCATTTATAAACAACATTTTTAATTTCCATCGTTCACCCCGAAACCCACGTGTGAGCACATCTCTAAAATGCAAATTTGGGGAATCCTCTCTATGTGCACTCCTATATGCAGGTTATACGAATGTACCATTAAAATAGTCTATATAAATATTATACAAATAAATTACACATTACACAACAATTAATTTTGGGTGGGAGATCCCCATCCCCCAACCACTAGGCACTAATCTGTAAACGTGCATGAGTACAACCTAGAGAGCATAGATAATAATACATATATTATTTTTGTATAAAGGCTCTCTAGTATACGACCTATGTATTACAATTTATAAATAATACATACAATATTATTATAGGTACAACAAAGTAAATTCGCCATCGCATGCAGGTCTAGTCTGTATATAATTTCCTGATTGAATAACTGAAGAATAATCTGGAAAGTCTAGACGTAGGCACTGCTGGAATCGAATTTTAATGGGTTATTGTTTTAAAGGTAAATGAGTGCGTATTATGTAAAGGTGTTGTTCGGTGCAACGACACGAATGCTGTACCTGCATACTTTTATGCATGTATATGCACCAATTCCTTTCTGATGAAATCCGTCAATTTGTTTCCAGAGGATCAAGCTACAAGGTAAAACAAAAATATCAGTCACGGGTTTGTTGTTGGTATAATGACAGTCTCGTATATGCGTCTACAAACGGCCCTTGTTAAAAGTGTGCCGTATGTAAATACCATTGTATGTACCTAACAAACTATAACTATAAATAACATTGTAAAATCCAAGTGAAATCTTGGTACAATAACTACTTATAACATGCCAAGTATAATAATATTATTATTGTACACAAAACTGTCGTCGCTTCATTTATAGTATTTACTTATAAACCATATAACATGTTTTATGTATGAAAGTTTATAAAATCCAAGTACTTTTAGAAAACATAGAGTAGTTTTTGAGTCTGAAGGTAGCAGACATAATACAGAATAATCATTTTATAGATAAACTTTTATATTTGTTTTAAGATATAATTTGTTTATTCGATTCGATAAACTCGACGATTTGGTGCATGCGCTTTCACCTCATCTGCCCAAGTAACCAATTGCAATTATTTATTTACAAAAAAAAGTACTTATTTCTGTACTTATTCCTACTATTACGAATTACAATAATTATTCCGATTATCTGTAACCAATGGCAACCATTTATAAACAACATTTTTAATTTCCACCTCTCTAAAATGCAAATTTGGGGATATCCTCTCTTATTGCACCCCTACATGGTAGTATGAAAGAATAGTGAAAATAGTCTATATATTATACAAATAAATTACACAAATATTAATTATAGGTTCTGGATACCCAAGCCTCCCATTACCACTCATCTGTAAACGTGCGCCTGAGTACGACCTAGAGAGCATAGATAATAATATATATATATATAAATTATACATAAAGACTCTCTAGTATACCACCTATTTATTATAAATAATATATACAATATACCTATAGGTACAACAAAGTAAATTCGACATCGCGTCTGTAGATCTAGTCTGTAGATAATTTCCTGATTGGATAACTGAAGAATAATCTGGAAAGTCTAGACGTAGGCACGGCTGGAATCGAATTATAATTTTACAGGCTATCATAATAACTATTGTAATTCGTAATAGTAGGAATTAGTAGGAATTATTATGAATCTCAAGTTAATTTATATTTTCAATAGTCTAATCGCGTGGCGGATAGAACACATATTTTCTAATTTTAATGAGAACTCATCTATATATATAAAAATGAATGTATGTCAGTGTGTGTGTCTGTGTGTCCATGTTACCATGGTTACCAAGGTTGCCATGGTTACTAAGGTTACCAAGATTTCATATCAATCTATATATATAAAAATGAATGTATGTCAGTGTGTGTGTGTGTGTGTGTGTGTGTGTGTGTGTGGGTCCATATTACCATGGCAACCATATCTGTATATAAAAAACAGTAAGCTGATTGACTGCTATCAACGCACAGCTCAAACCATTGGACGGATCTGGCTGAAATTTGGCATACAGATAGCTATTATAATATAGACGTGCGCTAAGAAAGGATTTGCCAAAATTCGCATTTTAAATAGGTGCTGAAACAGGGACATTGAGATTCACGATAGAAATTGGAAATTTTATTTTTATTTATTTATAGTTGCCATTGGTTA